GGAGAACAGGAAAAAGGAAAATGTAGGATACACTGAAAAATTGGTCATCAAGCTAGATAGTCACTGAGCCATATTGCTGCTTACTGAAAAGCAGGACTAAAATCAGTGGCGCTCTCCCATAGACCATGGTCAGTTCTGGTTTAAGAGCAGATGTGATTCAAATTTAGTTTGACATCCTTAGCAAAGGGACTTTGGAGGGTTTCATCTGCTCAGCTCCCCCGTGAGCAACTGTTTCCCCACCGTGAGAGGAAAATAAGGCTTTTCCAGCCCAACTTGAAGGGAAGGCCTGGATTCAATTAACTGGCAGAGAAAATGCTCTCTCTCTCTCTCTCTCTCTCTCTGTGTCCCTCCTCTTTCCTTAAGACAGTGGCTGTCCTTACACATGAAGGTCACCCGCAGCATGGGAGTCAGGGGAAAGGTGCAGAGCAGGGGAGGCTGACACTGCGGCAGCTGCCACCTCAGTAACCTCCCCAAACACAAACATCAATTGTGCAGAGAACGGTAACTGTTTTAAATAGGTTAAAAAATAAAGCCTGGTTATTTAATTTAGCGTACATGCTAGGTGGGTCAATATCTATCACCGTCTCCCCATCCTTCTTCCCCACCCTTCAGGTCTCTAAGGGCAGAGGTTTAAGTCCCAGCTGAGGAAACAGGGCATGCTTCATTTAGTAGCACCGCAGCAGGGCTGCTGGGGATGTCAAGCTTCTGATGAGACATTAAATCAAGGTAAACACTAATCTCATGGGCATCACTGCTTAAGAAGCACAGGAAGAAAAAAATAACAAAACCTTCATGGCTCTTGTGCTTTGACCTCTCACTACGGTATAATTCCTCAAAGCGAGGAAGCCCAAATATATGTGGAACAGGAGGTATCAAGTTTTCTGACTGCCTGCTTGTGCTTTTTTTTCATTTGCTCTAGGGGAGATTTATTGTGAATAAAGGTGTTCTGTTAAAAGAAATTTTCATCAACAAGAGCAAGCAGATGTCATCCCAAGACCCTATTTAGCATCCAAGCCACAAGACCATCCTCTCTTCTTCTTTGCACCCTCACTCCATTCGTCTTCACCCTACAGCCTTCCTCTCCCCTTCCACCACCCCAGCACACATGTGCCCCCTCACCCCCATGCGCGGATCATCATGGGCCATTTTTCCTAGCTGATGATTTCAAACCCTACTAGAAGGTCTGCAGCTCCGGTCAGGCTGAACCTGCAGAGTCATACAACAACTTATTTCTTTTACAGGTAAGAAACAACAAGGAAGACAGCTGCAGTATTTCAGCCTATTCTTCCCCATTTCCCAGCCAGCTCCCAAATCCTCTCCCTGCACAGGCATGATTTTCTCTTTGAAATAATCTTGATGCACCTGGCAATTGCTGGAATTCCTGAGTGTAATGGTTCAACAACAATTATCTCTTTTTTTCATGCTTTACACTAATTCTTGTTTAATAAAATTGCTACTCTGTGCGAGAGACTGAGCTGTCCCAAAGACAAACAAGGAAGGAAAGTATTTATTGCTCTCAACGTCCTTACAGAGGCTTCCTCACTTTGTTTAGGTGTGAGCAAAGAGAGCAGAGGGTAGCAGTTTAGATCCTGTCTGGATAAATAAACAATAAACTAATTGGGTTGCCCTCTCCAGTTCCCCTCATTTTCTGTAAAAAAACCCCAATAATTCAGCCCTACTTTTATGTTTTATTACATGCCTCAGGCAAGAAATCACATCCAGCAAACTCTAATTGATCATGCCAAAATAGAGATTAAAATGTTGCAATATTTAGTCCTAGGCTTCATTTAGTCTTAGATCCAAGGGGCTCTTCCACTAGCCTTTGCTGCCCCTGGTGTGGTCCTCCCCTCACTTTGATGCCAGCAGGTGTCATAGTCAAAATATCCTACACAGACCACAGCCACTTAGGAACCAGCACAGGTTGCACAGGGAAGGAGGGAGCTGTGATTTCACAGCAGGGTGGAGAACCCCAGTCCAGCCCCAGTTTGTTCCTTGGGGGGTGGTTGCGAGATGAAGGCAGGCTACCACACAGGGTCCCCTCTCTGTAGCGGGTACACGTGCAGTGACAGGTACTACTAAGCCCATCATATGTGACAGAGGCCAATATGTGACAGCACGGGTCCGGTGCTGTAGCCTGTCACAAGCACCACCCCGATGATGGGCAGAGAGAGGTTTCCTCTAAGGAGGCAGGCAGAAGGGCCAGGGGAAGGAAGAGAAAAATATGTCATTTTAATATTTTAGGTTGTAATTTTTGATGGGTAAAAGAGAATTCAGAGACTTTTGATACCATCACTTTGAGAAAAACAAACAGTTCCCCTCATTCTGCCTCCATCATGTGGAATTAACAGAGAGAGCTAAAGCCAAAGCTGCTGATTTCATTAGGCTTACTCTAGGGATGAGTTTCTCTCTGCATACCAAGCAAGTCATTGTACATGTTTAAAAGTTTCCTTTGACTGAGTCTCTTCAATTACCTTCCCACCTCCCCACCTCCCTAAACTCCTTGGACAGGCCGTATTAACCTCTGAAGAGCTTTAGACTTGCTCCTGGAACCCCTCCATGTGGCTTTCATCACCTTCCAGCCTCATGAACGGCTCATCCAGAAACCCTGCACTCGCTATTTCCCAAGTCCCAAGCTTTCTGTCCCTGAAACCTTGCTGCTACCGCAGGTTCATTCACTTCCTGAGAGCCTCTCTCTGCTGGAGCCCTCACAGCTCACACCTTAATTCCGCCTTTTTTTCCCCTTTTAACTTAATCTGCAGGGGACCTTCATGTGCACACATGACCCCACTTCAGGGACTCTGAAATATCTTTCTCCATCCTGGACCTCTCCACGATCATCATTCTCATGTCTTTGTCCCCCAACACCTCTTAAAGGTTGGCTTATATTCATCAGGCGCCATGCCAAAATCTTTCCCACTACTTGTGTTACTTACCCTTGCTAATAAGGCTCCTGTCCTCACATCGTCTGAGCCAGACACACAGGAGTCACCCTGGACCCTCTCCCATTGCAGAATGTGGCTGATTTCTTTAGCACCATCCTTTATTCTTTGCATCTGCCACTTTTACATCCTTCCCAACCCCACCAAGATGTTATGAGCAGTAAAATTATCTCCCACCTTGATGGTGACTGTCATTTTTTCCATCCTTCCAGTCATCCCAGTTTGTCTGAAGGTCTGCTCCAGGACATGCCACCGTGCCCTACCAGTGCAAGATGGTGGCTAGAAGAACCAGGATGTCAGGCAGGAAGGAGAGAGGCTGGTATGATTCTCTGCCAAGGTGGAAAAAACACAGAGAAAGTTTATGAAACACCTGGGAAGCCTGGGCAGCGTTAAGCATCTCTCTGGTGACTCCTCCTGCCTGCCTGAGCAGTCAGATATTTGACTCGGGAAAAGCGCTGACCAGTTCCCTTGGGAACCATGCCCAGGTCTCTCAGGACAGGGGGTTTGGCTGAGATATGAGTCCAAGGGTGCCCACGTGGAGAATTCTCATGCCTTCTCATTCCCACCTACCTCTGCCTGAGAAGGATATCATGAAATGATTTTGGCTGGATTATTTAGTGCTGCGAAAGTCTTTGCTGCTAGGTTTGCAACAGCAAACTTAACATACACACCCCCTCCGTCCCTAAGCTTATCCGCCCCATGCAGACTCAAGTGCCTTTCAGGCATTACGTGTATCGGTGGCTGTCTTTGTACCAGCCAAAGATGACAGGAGAGCGGACTGAATGAGGGTGAGAGCGTATTCACGCTGATCTGCATGACGTGAACCTGTTCTCCCTGTGCCTGTGCAGGCGCGCTCTCGCACACAAAAGCGCCGGCCGGTAAGCGTGCCCTCTCTCATTTTACACCCAGCACACCCACGCTCTGCTTCGCATCTCCTCTCCTGGCAGTTGCTCTCCCATTCACATTCGTAGCCATGCCCACGGACACACTCTCTGCACACAGATCCGCTCTTTTTCTCACAGGCACACCCACTCCCTCACATGCGTTCTCCCTTTGTCTCTTGTTTCACAGCCACAGACACTCTTCATCTTAAAACTATATCTCCCCCCAGCTGGATCCGGCCTTGAGCTCCTGAGATGAAAGGAGCTTGTTCCTACCTAGGAAGAAATGTTACTGCTTCTTCTGAAAAAAATTTTTTTTTTTTTTTTTTTTTTCTGATTAGCCATGAAAGGCAGAGGCTGGGATC